CTTCCTCTAATCTGCTGTTTATTCCTTCCAATGTATTCTTTATTTCTGCTATGTCATTCTTCATTTCCTTCATAGTTTCCATATCTTTTTCCATGCTGTTGAGCATCTTTACAATCAACATTCTGAATTCTATATCTGAGAGATTGCTTATCTCCATTTCATTTAGCTCTTTTTTTCTGAAGACTTCTCTTGTTCTTTCATTTGAGGCTTGTCTTTTGGTCTCCACATTTTGGCTGCCAATTTGGGTTTCCTTCTATGTATTAGGTAGGCCTGCTAGGACAGTCTTTTTGGAGGGTCTCTGATGCAGGCCAATGTCAGATGCAGTTTGTGACTTGCTCTGAGTACCCTGTTTGGAGCTATCAACAACCCTCGACTTGAGGTCTTCCTTGCTGGGGCTGGGTGCATTTGGACAGGACCAAGATGCACACCAAAGTCTGGTTTTCTGAGGCCCAGGTCCAGAAGCAGATCAGGCAAAGACTCAAAGCACTCTGAGGTCTGCCTCTTTCTGCAGGCTGATTAATCTGATTCTTTTAATGAGCCTCAGGCTGTAGAAACTCCTCTGGGTAGGGAGGGAGGTTTTTCAGCAGGGTGGGGAATTGCTTCCTGCTCCAGGCAAAAAGAGCAAATTGTCTGCCTGAGAAAGATGGGGGAATGCCTTGGCACTGGCATTCAGACGAGTGCCTTCTGATTGCACTCTCCAGATCCCACAACCCTTGGTTTTCCTCACAGGGTCCACCCTGCCCTCCTGCGGCTGGGGCCCAAGGTGAGTGGCTACATATGAAACTTTGTTTTGGCCCTTTAAGAGTGTGCCTGCATTTCAAGCTACCTCTCTCTGGCAGACAGAAACCCTGCTGCTTTTCACAGCCAGACATTATATGGGAACCTTTCTCAGTTCTGGTGCTCTTGGCTGGGAAGCCCAGCCTGGGGTTTAGGCCCCAGAATCCTCAGTGGAAACCCCCCACAGCTAAGATATTGCTCTGGACCTTCGCCTGCTGCCTGTGGGAGCCCACCCAGACCTCTCACACATCCACACTTCCCACCAGTCTCTACGTGGTCTCCACCTTTCCTCCTTGGTTATGAGGGTGATCTCCAGCTCATGTTCAGTTGCAGTTGATTATTCATGATGGTTTTTCTGTATTTTAGTTGTAATTACAGTTTGGTCCCGGGACTGTGTCAATGTAGCTTCCACTTTGTCTGCCACTATCTTTAATCTCCAATTGTAACTTAATTTTTATGCCTAAATATATTTTACTTCACTTTTCTAGAAATGGAATTAGTGAGGGTAAGTCTCTGGATACACTTAATCATATACTTTGGTTATACCCATTTATATGGTCCCCAGTGTGTATGGAAGTGTGCAGTACTGTATTTTACCTTTTTTAAAAATTGATTTTCGAGAGAGGAAGGGAGAAAGACAGAGAGTGAGAAGCATCAATGTGAGAGAAACATGGATCAGTTGCCTCCCTACCAGGGATCAGATCTCAAACCTGGGTATGTGCCTTGACTGGGAATCAAACCCATCACCGTTCTGTATACAGGTGATGATACAGCAAACTGAGCCACAGTAGCCAGGGTTGTATTTTACCATTTAAATATCTCTGTTAATGTCATGGTTGAAAAATTCTATCTAATTGTCCATTCAATTTACCTTTCTTTAATGACTCATTAAGGTTAAAATAGTTTTTCCTATATTTATTATATATTTATAGTTTCTATTTTGGGACTTGTCTGTTTACAGGAAATTTATTTATTTGGGTTTTTATCTTTTTCTTAATTATAATTTTATATATTTTTATATATTAAGGCTGTTAATCTTTTATCTTTCATACTTGTTGCATAGTTTTTCTTTTTAGTTAAAGATGCAGTTGAATTTTCTGCCAGCCTTTGATTTTAGTTTCCTCCCAAGATCTTGCTTTAGGATCCTGCCTCTTAGTTCCAAATGTCCGAGTCCACTGCCAAATAACTGATGCTCCTCCTCAGGGTTGGGCCTAGGTGCGCTCCCCACTCCCAGCATGTGGGGCACTCCTTCTCTGAGATGGAGAAATAAATGCTTTACTCGTGTATGTTTTCTTTCACAATATCTGTTTCTTTGTGTAAATGTATCTCTTGTGGATGATGGGGAAACTGTAATAGTGTAGTTATGTCTTTCCTCTAAGTCTGATAAAAAAACTTACGCATATGGTATCTTTTAGCCCTAGAAGCTTATTTTTAAATACTTTGTGTTGCATTTTTAGATTTACTTAAATTCACATAAAATTTGACATTAATAACTTACTCTAAATAGCTGGCATTTATTATACTACTTATCTGACATGCATTTAAGTTCTCATCTACTGTTAGCAGAAGAACAAGTTGACTTTGAAAGTTAAATCTGACGGAGTTTGAGACACTTTGTATTACCTCCCAGCTACAATCACTTCTATTTGTATAAGCCACATTAGAATACCAATCACAGTAACATCTTGTAAATGACAAAAGAGTTCTTCCCAGAGAGTATCAACTCATTATTTGGGAGAGGAAACAACTTGGGATAGGAAGGAGAGAGGATCCACTGAGGACACCAAAGAAAAGGATGGCTATATTCACAATCTGGTGAGATCCACCCTGGACTTGGAGATGTGAGGGCCAAAAGATCTTGGAGGAAAATGAAACCAATAGCAGAAAGCTCTGAAACTGTGGGTCCTGTGGCATTTAATTCATTGGCACTCACAGGGTGGCTTGGGTGTGTGGCTCCAGCACAGCTCATGGTGGCATGAGATCCAGAGTCCTGCGTAGAGCTCAAGGCCATTCTTGATCACCAGGAACCGCACCCAGTTCAGTGGGGACACGCAGATCAGCATTAGGAGGCTAAAACCACAGAGGCTGCCACAGAACATTCGGATGTAGGTGTGTGTCTGATCCACATGCTGCTGCCGCCTCTGGGGTGGCATGGAGGCACTCGGATGTTTGTTGGTGGGGAGGGTAGGCTACAAGGATGAGGGAAATATTGCCTACCCAGAAAGATAACCTTTGATCCCCAGGGTTTCCTACTCTTCTCTACCTTGAGTATCCCCATGTGGGTTTGATTTGTATCCACAAATCTATCCCTACCCCTTCTATAAAAAACAAAAGGGTGATCTCTTCTCTGTCTTTAGGACACTCTGTCAAGGCCCACCTTCAAGCAAGCCCTCTTCCTCCCATCTGACCTGTAATTAGGTTCCTCCTCACCCTTTGGTATTTCCGGTTCCCCTTAAGTTTGGGAACCTCGGGACTGTAGAAGGTCAAGACTAATTGTTCCCTCCTCTCCATCTTGGCAGCCAGTTCACTTTATAACTGCCACGGAATTTGTCTTAGCACCTCCTCACACATGCTGGCAGAATCAAAAGGGGCCAGAACCCATGGCATATATCCCATGTATATGTGATGCTCCCCACCCTCCCTTCTCTGACTCCTCCCAACTCTTCTTTAAAATCAATCCACAAATATTTTATCAGCAGCTGCTGTGTGTCAGGCTTTGTGTTAGGTCCTGGGATACAAAGATGAATAAGACATAGTTCTCTAAAAGCAAGTAAAAAAATGTAACTCAGATGTCTCCAGGACTCAGCTTGTGCTTATAATTAAGAAAATATATATATATAAATATGATTTTAATATACTGATATGTATATATACTAGTACCCCAGAATCCATGCTCTTGCCTAGCTCTAAGTGGAAAGGCCCAGATGTATCTCAACAGGCTCATGAACCTGTCTGTCAGCCACAGTCCTTCCATGCAGCATTCATCCTTTTATTCCCTTCTTGCTCTGGTTCCCTCTTTTTAATGCCCTCTACTCATGAAGTCATTTAAGAGTGCTATACCCCCTCTTACCCCCCTCCCTCCACAACTGCTACTGCTAATAGGGTCCACTGTGAAAATGCCAGTATTCCTATCTCAGGGGGCTACCAGCCAATGTGCTAAAAGCTGCCATTCCAGATGCAGCAGTAGTGTTGGTTTCTATTTGATGTGAGAAGAATGGCTTTCCCTGGGTCCACAGCCAGCACAATTTGTGCCCAGAGTATCTCAAAGTCTCCTTTTCAAACAACTCAGAGTTGGTCCTAACTCCTCTCTCTATAAGGGCTCAAAATTAATCCAAGATGCTGAAATGATGCCATCCTGTTCCACAGCGTAAACATTGATTCAAATAAATACCCAGTGGAATACCAGCTCTTTGTTTTCCACAAACAGATCAACTTTGATTCCTAAGCTTGGGCTGAATCAGAATGCCCTTTCACACTTTGCTAGCGTATTGTTATCCCTCCATTCCCCAGGTAGTGGGAACTACCGACAGTAGCCAGTAGTGTGTCCATGCTTTAGTATGTAGACCTCATTCTGTAATAGTGTTATTTGACTCTCTGTATCCTCATTCTTAGCCTAGTACCTGGAAAAAATAGTATTTAATGTTAAATGAATGAGTCAATAATACATATTTATATAAAGTACAAAGTTGATACAGAGGGCAGAATGGTTAACACTGTCTGAAGAAAGTTAGGAAAGATTTACTGGGAGAGGTGATGTCTTAGCTAGATTTTAAAGGAATTTGCCAGTTAACGGAGGTAGAAGGACATTTGAGGCAAAGAAAATAGTAGGCCTCAAGGCAGGAATCTATGAACAGTATGAGGTTCAGAGTACTAGAAGCAGTGTGGTTCTGCTAGGCACAAAATCAAAGGTAAGTAATCAAAGGTAAGTGTTGAGGGTTGCAGGTATAGGCAAGAGCAAATCACAGTCTTTTATGTCCCACTATGTGATTATATTGTGAAGTCTCAACTGCTGTTATACTCTAGCCTTACTGGCATGATTTTAGGAAAGACTTTTCTGTCTACAACAAACTGATTTGTACAGCATAACTGTTAGATACACATGCTGGCTATAGACCTAGATATAGAGTTTGAATAAGCAGGCCTGTATTTTCATCCTGGTTCTAATACTTACTTAGTTCCAACACTTACTGGTTAGGTTCCTTTGGGAAATTTCCTTAATTTCATTAACGCTCAGTTTCTTCATCTCTGAAACTGGGATAATATCATTCCTGCCTTACAGAAGCGCTGTGAAGATTAAATAAGATAATACACATAAAGATCTTTACATGGTACCTTAAGTACTCAATTAATTCTATTATTGATAGATATTGATATTATTGATAAATATATTATCTATATTAAGCAATTAATAGTGCTCAGTAAATACTATTATTATTTTTTTTAATTTTATTTATTTTTAAAAATATATCTTTATTGATTTCAGAGAGAGGAAAGGAGAGGGAGAGAGAGAGACAGAAACATCAATGATGAGAGAGACATTGATCGAGCCCGCAACCCAGGCACGTGCCCTGACTGGGAATCGAACCCCGATCGCCTGGATCCTAGGTCAACATTCAACCGCTGAGCCACCCCCGGCCAGGCACTATTATTATTTTTTAAACTCTCTTTGTAAGTTTGCTTGAGTATATTTTTAGTGCAGGCCACCCTGAAACAGATGAAATACTAAAGCTAATGGAAAAGATGTGTCACCCTTTAACCCTTCGCTAGTGGCACTAAACAAGCACATTACCAAAGAGATTATTTTGTTGTAATGTGGGGTAGTGGGTCATTTTGTGAACAGTGTCTGATTTGGTAAATGATACAACTCTCTGTTAAAGGAACAGGTTAGGTACCATTCAACTCTCAGGCCTACTTCAGGTCTACCAAAAAGTAGGAAGAATGTTCTGGCCAGCTAGGAACTTCCTAGGGTTTTTGATGCACATGACAAAACAAGCATTTATTCGTACCTGGTGGCTGTGTATGTTGCCATTCACCCATTTGCAAAAGAAATTTGGGGTCCCCAGCCTATGTGGAAGCCATTGCCCCAGAGCCTATGGGCAAGTGCAGTGGCTCCTGGAGCCCATGGGGTCAGGTAGAGCATAGCTACAAGCAGACCCAGCGCCTCCAGCACTGACCAGTCACTACTTGGAGCTGCTGCATAGAAGATATTGTGAAGGCTATTTATGCTCCCTGCTACTTTGGGCAGAATACCGGAACTCTGCCTCTGCGCTGAGGCTCTTCAATGCAGGACTGGCTCAGTCAGGTTAAGGACTTGGTTTCAGAAAACAACTGAACCGATGTGATTGCAGTTTTGGAAAAAAGTGTGGGCAATATATACTGTAGCAGTACATCGCATCAGCCTGTGGCCACTGAACTATGGAAGGCCTGCATGCCAGCAGATGCTGGCCTATTCCTGGGCCCCAGATTGACTTTACAGAGCCCCAGGGAGGATGGAAAGCCAAGTGCCCCATGCTGGGGACTGAGAAGAAGTGGACAGGAAGCTGCTGTTAAAGAATAATCTGACTAAAAGATGGCTTATGAAAATCATTGATGACGGAGAAAAAAATTTGGATGACAAAGCATGTGATAATATCCATGAACTGGAAAATTATGCTGAAAATACACAGAACTTTCTCTTTATTTAACACTAGAAATATTGGGTGTAAAGTATCTTCATGCAGATGATGCCACAAGTCACACTGGAAAAGCACGAGGCATTGTCACATGTTTGAGAGCAATGCCCTATCACAAATATTCCTTGGATATTTGTATGTTTGACAAATACAACACAAGGTGTTTCATAAAAGATTTTCTACAGATGAACCAAGATTAAAATGCAAGCCCTGCCTGGCCAGCATGGGACAGAGGTTGAGCATCAACCTATGATCCAGGAGATCGCTGTTCGATCCCTGGTCAGGGCCCAGGCCCAGGCCCAGGCCCAGGCCTAGGCCCAGGTTGTGGGCTTAATCCCCAGCAGAGGGCATGCAGGAGGCAGTCAATCAATGACTCATCATTGATGTTTCTCTCTCTTCCCCTCCTTTCTCTCTCTGAAATCAATAAAGACATATTTATATATATATAAAAAGTTGTGAGCCCTGGCTGGTGTGGCTCAGTTGGTTGAGTGACATCCCACTCACCAAAAGGTCACTGGTTCGATTCCCAGTGAGGGCACATGCTCAGTCAGGGGCATGCAGGAGGCAGCTGATTGATGTTTCTCTCTCTCTCTTCCTCTCCCATCCTCTCTCTCTAAAAAAAAAAAAAAAAAAAAAAA